TTTCTCTTCCCTTAGGTATTCTTTTTTTTGTGTTCAAGGCTTTCGTGCAATTACGATTATCGTTAATGGCTGAAAATATTGGAAATTTCAAAAAAGATCTACGCAAAACAATAATCGGCCGTGAGTTTTGAAATTTTAGATTAACAGAAAAATCATTAACATGAAAAATTATTAAACTCTAAAAGAGCAGCGAAAAAATATGGTTGGTATATTATGCGGTTTTATAAGATTTTTATCGAAAGAAAAAAAATATATATTTTTCATGAATTACTAAAGAAAAAGAATTTTCGTGTGCAAAACAACAATTTGTAAACTAGTAATTTTTAGCAAAAAAAAACCGACTTCAACTCCCATATAAAATATATATATATATATATATATATATATATATCTCATGATCCACTGATCGGATCTCAACCAGATTAGTATGGGACCACCTCTGAGACACTACCTTTCCGATGCAAAAATTATCGAAATCGGTTGACGCGGTCCAAAGTTATGCGGTAACATACATAAAAAAACAAAAAATATTCCGACGAACTGATAACCTCCTTTTTTGGAAGTCGGTTAAAAAAATGATAAAATACGACAGAAACAATTTCAGACAATCATATCTTATTTCTTTAACTTACAGATCAAATCTGGCTAAAATAGTAAGAAGTCTTTCGTAAGACAGAAGGCAAGATTGGCCTTTGTTATTCTAACACAAAGGTCTTAGTAAAAAGCACTTGTATGTCATTTAGCTCGCGTCGATCCAACAGTCCCTGGGGCAGCGTTTGTTGATTTTTTTTTTTGGTTTTACTAATTAAAAATTTTATCTTTTTAATTTTCAGGAAGCTATTTTAAGTAGGTCTTATCCTTTAGTATTTTTTTTATCTTTCTCAATTTAAGAAAAAAGAAAATTTTTTATTTTTTTTTCTGTTTAAAAAAGGAAAAGAAGTTTTTTTTTTAATTTCACAATTTTTTTAGAAACTTATATAATATGTAAATTTTTTCTTTTTTTAACATTTAACTTGTTTTTATTCTGTTAAATTCATTTTCTTAAAATTTTTAATTTAATTCTTCATTTAAAATTTATAAACCAATTTTTTGTATTTATTTTTCTTTTTTAATTTATTTCTTTTTAGTTTAGTCTTCTTTTTAATTTTTAGATACTAGTGTTCGCCCAGCGGTTGAAATTCAACCGCTAAAATTAAGGATAGTTTATGTGAGTTGAGTTGAGCTGAAATAAAATTTGTTGGAATGGGTTAAGTGGAGGGGAGTTTAGCTTAGTACTTAGCATAACATAACATAGAATAGCAGTAGATTCAATAACATAACATATGTAGCATAACACATCACAATATAACATCGCACATTCTTCAGTTGTATTTCCTTTTTATCCCTATCACTTTCTTCCTCTTTATCTTTGTCTCTATCGCTTTTAATGTTTATGTTTATGTTTATGTTTATCTACACCTTCATGTTCATGTTCATGTTCATGTTCATGTTCATGTTCAAGTTCATGTTCATGTTCATTTTCATGTTCATGTTCATGTTCATGTTCATTTTCATTTTCATGTTCATGTTCATGTTCATCTTCATGTTCATATTCATCTTCATCTTCATCTTCATCTTCATCTTCATCTTCATCTTCAT